AACCACCGTGAATACAGATATTTGTTCTAAGCAAAAGACCATTGATGTTCATTTAAGCTCAGCGGCCTTGTTTGACATTTATAAGGCCATGGATGCCAAAATAATAAAATCATTGTTTTGATTCTTGCATTTGAATAAACAGCAAGGATTAAGCTAGCGGCGCATTCCTGAAAACAAAATATTTGCCTATGTCGTTTTAAGTTAGTTACCTCCTCTGACTTTGAAAGGTAGAACACCACATTTGTTTTGAGTTTTGAACCGAAATAGCCATCTTGGAGACCATTCGGTGCACTTCGCAGATCTGCCTCTCTTAAGACTTATAGGCTTCTAGTTTCGGAGCTACACGCCCGCGAATATGTGCGGCTTTTTGAGGAAACTATTTATAAGTCATTCAAGCGTCCAAAGCGCCATAATTGTGTCTTTCAAACTCTGTGATTTCATTAGCCCTCAAAACTAATCAAGATGCAATTATCGAATCGTTCACATCTGTCATGCGTGAGCACAATATCCAAATGTAACGGTCGTCAATTGGCTCTCTCAATCACCGTTGTGCAAAATGCGACGACATATTCAAACAATGACATATTGAGGAGCGTATTTTAGAGACAGAGATATTGCGTTGCATAGAAAAGTATTTCTCACTGAGAAGTATACCAATAGTTATATGTCTGATGTTTGCTTCAACGCATTCATATGTGGAATATTCCCTTTAAGAAGTCCATTGCAGATGTCTATTGCGGTTTCTAATGCTAATGCATTTGAAATGAACATTAGAAGCTACCTCATACAGCAAGCTTTCAGGTAAAAAGCAAGTTTGTTTTGACTTCGGTCTGACGTTCATAGCTCACCTGATGCCAAAAGAATAAGTAGGTCTTCTAAATTCCGTTGACTATTGTTAACTGACTATCGCGCCGGCGCGACGGACTGTGTGGGGTGCCTGTGACGAATGTGACATACAGAAGGGGCTTGGAACGCACCGTGTGTACCAGCGAGCCGGAGGCGAGACACCGGAACAACGTAACTTACATATATGTGACAATTATTGGACCACCTGCGACGATTAGGGATGTTGTCGCGTCAATGAGGCTTACTGTGCTGATCCGGGTCCAACGGCGCGGGTCAGAAGACCTCCCGTGTCAGGCGCGGGAGCACTGCGATACGATACATCCTCTAATGACCCCCGGATTGACCAGAAGATCCCGCCCCGTGTGGGACAGAGCGGCCCTTCAACCCTTGACCAGAAACGGTAATGTGCCCCTGGTGCCCCTTCTGCTTGAGAGGCCGTTGCCCACAAGGAAGTAAGAGGTCTCATTATTGTTGGGTAGAGTGCGGGTCTCATAAGTGTTGAATAAAGTGTCAAAATAATTATAAAAAGCAAACAAGACCATCTCATGTCTGCCTGAGAACATTCATTTTCAAATGGATTAGTTTTTTGCTTAATTATCAAGAGGGTGCTCGCCCGCAACCTCGTGAGCAAGCACAGCGATGGCCTGGGTTGCAGCTCCCGTGAAACCGAACGGCGTCGGCCGCTGCAATTGCCACCAGACGGTGGGCGCTGTTTTAATCTGTCTTCTGGACGGATTTAGAATTACGGGAATGCGAAAAATAGAGATTATACCTTTACTCTTCCAGTTCCACCGCCAGATTCCAGCACCACTTCGCGGTGATTTAAGGGCCAATTCTTCCTTATCATCAGTCTAAAAATCACACACGTGAGACATGCACCCAGACTGCCTACTAAATGTAAGTCCTAGAGCGTTCAAAGGTACTTCTATCAGGAGTGTCATCATTTTGGTCCGCCCGTTGGCCGCGACTCAGTATTAGCTGCCGGGCCTACGCTGCGCGGCCTATGGAGACTGCAATACCTGGCGTCGAGTTTTTTGTCACTAAGATTTGTGAGTGCGCGTGCTTTTACGTGCGTGAAGTTACGTCACATAATTTGTACTTCTTATCTACTGAAACGTTTAAAAGCAGTCATTTCAGAAGCGTCATCATTTTCGTTCGACGGTGGGCCACGGCAAAAAATTAACCACTGGGCTAACGCTCCGAGGACAACAGAGACTGCAACGCCTGGCGCGAGGTTTTGTTGCTAAGATTTGCGAGCGACGTTAAAAGGCCGCGTCATAAACTATGTCACTTATCGGTTCTGAACGAGTGTTAAACATTTCCCGACAAACATGGCTTGGCCAAATTAATACAAATTGCTGACCACTTGATCTAAAATTAAATTTTCATCTTCAAATTTCGATCAAACATGTCGATCTGTAACCTACCTTCGCAACGTCTTCAGTGCCTGTATAACCCAGATAAAACATTCCAACAAAGCCTCTGAGTTCTTTCAGTCTATGATAAGTCCGCTAGGACATTGTAAATTAAGGGTGCCGATGATTTATTCCACGTGGTCGTCCAACGCCTGATTTCTGCAGTGTTTTTTTTTTTTACTGCAAAATACAAACATTGATTTCATGGCACCTTCTGGTTTCTGTTCTGGTTACAAGGTAAATATAACAATGAAACGAAGACAACCATATCCATTGTTCACAAGTAAACTACATACCTTATTTTTTTGGGGGGGGAGGTTCACCATTAGAGAGCCTTTTATCAACCCTGTGTTCATTCTTAGCAAGGCTCTGGCTATGCCCCTGCCTACATACAAAAGCAGACCAAGTCGTCTACATTGAATGCTGGGCGATGAAATGCCTGTTGGGCCAATTCATATCTAAGGCAGACAGCTTCTAGGAGGCTTTTGCCGGGGTGATGTGGTGTAAGAGAAGATAATTCGGAAAAAGGTACTGTTGCAGGTGTCCAACGTATGTCTTACACACCAATAAATAGTAATGCTGATCCATAAATACGCAACAAAGCAGCCATGCGATCAGTCTTCAGTCAGCCATGAGAGAGATAGCCAGGCCAGTGCAATGGCCGCCGACGGCGGACGGGAGTAGGGCCCAGATAAGGAATATATGACAGAAGGTCTTTCATTCTATGACTTGGTTGTTTTTAGAATCTCCAGTTTTATGGTGTTTTGTCACATTGTTTTTTAGCAGTTTTAAAGCATCAGAATTTGCTTCAGCCTAAAATGTTGCGACAAACCTTATCTGTTGAAAAGCAGCCAGCGAAAGGAAGGCTCATGAAAAATCTGTCGCACTGTGAACCTTCAATTCACTTTGAAAATTCTCATCAGCCTCCGCCCATGCCGTATTTCGGCATTTACCCTGTGAAGGCAGATGCCTCCTCAATGACCCAACATCCTACCGGCTTGTGCAATTTCGCCTCCCCAGGAAAGACAATGTTGAAATGGACGAATAATCTTGGGAAGCTGGATAGCCTAATTTGCCGAATGACATAGATGAGTTGGATAGGCAAGATTGCGCCCCAGTGAGAAACAGCCCTAGATGGACATCTACCACAGCAGCCGTGACATCTGAATAAAGGTCGATAACAACCTCCTCCATCTCACCCCCTCCCCCCGACGGTCATCAGGCTTACTTTCTAGAAAAAAGTTCCTGAAGTACGCCCTGGGCTTGGCCTCCCACTTTTCGAAACGTTTCTACGCTTATGCTTCACTTGCAATGCTCTGTTTGTGCCTAGGATCCAGAACGTTGGGGAGGGGGCAAACTCACCGTTGGGGGCCAAATTGGAACGGGGGTGGGGGGGGGAGCAGTGGTGTACTCAACAGAACACAAATATATTCCCGTGTCGTCTCGTTTTTTGCAACTGTTTGATCGAATATTGACGTAGGAGTGATGGTCGCCACATTGCAAGACTTCCTCCGAATATAGACGGGCTAATAACTAAGCAACCTTTTTATGCCAATATTTCGCCGCTTTGTTTTTGTCTTGTGATGAGACGTAGCAAAACAACGCAGCTTGCTGCAGTCTGTTTGATTGAAATATCGCTGAATGATGCTAAAACACTCCCACAATAGCACAAAACTAGGCCGGAGTCAGCAAGAGATATAAATGGTGTAGTTACAGACATGTACCATGCAGGAAGAACAGAACCAAACTCAAGTAAACACGGTACGCTTGCGGAGCTTTAAAAAGCGTGACTTAATCAGTCCGGTGCACAAAAATGAGCATGATATCGCTTTTTTCTATTCATAGGCCTTTTACCTGTGAAACAATTAGTAAAAGTCTTCTTTAAGTTTGATATAATTCGAGCTCGCATTTGTAATGTCCTACATGTACTTGGGTTTCAGTAGGTTGGGGAGGGGCAAGCTCGCCACTGAGGGCCGGACGATATGTTGGGGGGGGGGGGGGGCAGTGGCCCACCTACAAGAATACAAATCGACACCCGTGCATAGCTGACGTCGAATGGCTGGCGGTCGGTTTTTGGGCATGGTGGAGATTTCTCCCTAACTGAGCAGCCACGTTATATGCCAGCATTTGGCTGCGCAGTGTAGCAGTTACTAGAAGACGAAGATGTCGGTGGTGTAGCGGTGGGGGTGGGTGGAACGTGGAGTTCCTTTTGGTGTAATCACGCAAGGAACGTACCGTAATCTACTGGTGAGTAGAAGAGTAGAGTAATGCTGCGAGACCGTTCATTTATGGTTGTGAATCCACAGTGCCCGCGGGGCTGGGTGCGTGGTGTGTGGTAGTGTGGGAGAATGGGAGGAATGATTGTCGCCGTTTTGATAGCGGTGCAATATCCTGCGGACGTTAGTATTATTTGGCCATGACTTGATAAGTGTGGTACAAAAATGGAACTGGTCAACGGCTAAATGTTTAAATAAGAGTGTTTTTCATACGGCTGCGTTAAGTTAAGATATCGAAACACAACTGCTAAATAGGTTACTTTTATTGGCAGTTTGATTTATGGCAGTCCTGGCATGCTGGTGTTGCTTGAACGTCTTATTTCCTAGTAATCAGAGGTTCCTGCATTGCTCTTGGTAGTGATATGTGTTGATGGTTACATGTAAATGGGTGTAGAAGCATTTAAACAAGTTTGAGAGCTTGAAATGAACATCATCGAGGTCCTGACAGCACTCTGAAAAGGTCTTGGTTTTAAAATGGGGAAGAATAATGATGAGCATTTCTAATGTAGGTAACAAGGTATATACTTGTATAATAACTAGGCTCCTAGGTACCCAAAATTTTCAGGAGGTATTGTAGTTGACTTGCCAGCTTCCTGAGTTGAGGTGCCTTGGCCATGCACAGGGGGAATTTGATTCCCAGCTGTACCTGCCCTGCCTACCAGGGTGATAGACAGGCAATGCCATACAACATCAGCAGCTGATTGTGTTGTAAAGTCCCAACAGCAATAGCAGGGAGCATGTCTGTGAATGAATAGTGCAGGAATGCAGATGTATAATTGGAGAGATTTTGTCATGGTTGCAGAGACCACCATGTTGCAAGAGTGTCTGAGTTTTGTGGCTAAGACCCAATTTTGGTAGGAAGGGGTAGTATTAAGACCATGTTGGTGAATTTGTGGAACTGAATAAAAATATATGTAATGTCCAAATTCAGGGCAAGGTTATTTGGGATCATCTTATTAACTATGATATGTATAGAGGCAAATGTAGGTTGATAGCACATAACTTGAGTTAGCGGTGACATGTTTTTGGACAGCAGAACATTATAAAAAGCTTCTGTTAGCTCATGCTCAGGTGTGATTCCCAGGCATACTAAAATGTTTTTTACATGCTAGCATGCTTTGTACATACTAAAATGCTTAAATCTTGTTAAGATATTTAGAGGCTTTGGTGCCAGGGACTATTTGTATCCTTTGAACAGAAAGGGCTACCCTTTCTTTTTTGCTAGGGAGGACTTGATGCTTTGTTGCTTTGGACCAGATGCCACCTTTGTGGGATCTGATGCTGAGTTGAGTTAAGGAGGGTGGGGGCAACACCAAGAATTGCCAGTGTGTAACTAAGTAGAGAGAGGTTGAAAAAGGCAAAGCAATATGAAATGAGTTATAACAGTGCCTCTGGTGTGGGCATTGCCCTGAATACTAACCTTGGACCTCATAATTGTGCACACAAGTTATTACTAGTTTCCCTGAGCTGTTGAAATGTTTTATTCATGATTATTGCTATCATAGCACTGTCCCACCTATACACCTCCATTTGGAGGCTCAACTTATCACAGGGGTGTGGTGTGGGTCATGTGCTGCTGGCTGTACCCAGCATTACATGTAGCAAGATTTCCTCCTTTCATGAGATTCATGTGTTCTCGCCCTGCCAATTACATCCGCACTGCTAGCACGAGGCAGGCAAGGCTGCAATTATTTATTGGAATAGCTAACCATTGTATTGCATAACGTTACTTCCATATTGAGAGTTACCTGATTCGAGTCATTAGTGATGTATCCTCAGACAGATCGCACATTTTGCTATTTTTATATTTCCAAGTCTTTAGGATTAGGTTGGAAAGGTACCTTTTGGGCTCAGTGCCTTGCTTATCCAAGAAACATGATGCTTTAAATATATGGGAAGGCCTGATTCAGGTACTTTTTAGGTCCAACCCTGAATAGTGCATATGATGATGGCACATATGAGATGTGTTCAGTCAGTTTCCCAAACAAATGCCTGTTACTAAGCTGTCAAAAGATATCTATGATATGAGCCATTGTGAACAGCTTGTTGAAGCTACACAACATTCCAATACTAATCACTGCAGCAAATTATGTCATCAAAGGGCTTTGAGCCAACAATCATCAAAATGTGCACTATGCCCATCTTCCATCAGCTGGGGCAGCTCAGTGCTCAGGGGCCACGTCACCAAACTGTTATCCGGGTACATGAACTAGCAGTCGCGCCACTTCTCGACGAGCCAGCGTGGCGCCAAGCATGAATGACATCGAGACGGTCAAGGTGGTGGTGGTGGGTGACTCGGGCGTGGGCAAGACATCGCTGGTGCACCTGATCTGCCACAATGAGCCGTGTCCCAAGCCGTCCTGGACGATCGGCTGCGAGTTGGACGTGCGCATCCACGACTTCCGCGAGGGTCTGCCGGCGCAGCGCACCTACTGCGTCGAGCTGTGGGACGTGGGCGGCAGCGCGGCGCACCAGAACGCGCGCCACGTCTTCTACGGCGGCGCACACGGCGTCATCCTCGTGCACGACCGCAGCAACCGCAAGACGCAGAACACGCTGGGCGCGTGGCTGGCCGAGGTGCTGCAGCGCGACGGCGGCGGCGGCGAGCCGGACGCCTTCGATCTGGAGACGCTGGCCGGCTCGCCACAGCTGCCCGTGCTGGTGGTGGCCTGCAAGCCGGACCTGGCGGCGCAAGCAGCAGCGCGCCGCGCACCTCTCGCGCCACGCGTCGCGTTTCGCCGAAGAGTGCGGCGCGCAGGAGATGGTGGTTCGACTGCCTGAGCGCCCCGCTCGCTGGCCGCCGGCAGCGGCAACGCCGTGAAACTGAGTCGCTTCTTCGACAAGGTGATCGAGCGGCGTTACTATGGCGACCGGACGGCGCAGCAGTACGAGCGGCGCCGGCCCACCGCGCTCGGCCACACGGCCGTCAGCTGTTCGTTCAAGGAGTACTGACCACCGCCGCGGCTCGAGGACTCGGGTGCTGGGGCGGCCGGACGATGGCCGGCCGGTTTGTGCTGTGAGAAGAAGGTGCGGTGTCTCTTGACTGCGGGTGGTGGGCCAAGGGAGCAGTGTGGGTCTCTGTGACGGGACAGCGCACGATGTGCGAACCTAACGTTGCACGGCCTAGCAGGGGACGTTGATGAATCCAAGGTACCACCGATTCTATTTTCCTGAGACTTTCGGACGGTAACGCCTGACGTCCGTTCGCTGCCGTGGTATGTACGTGTGGGAGACCATGCCCGGCGTGTGCGAGTTGGGCGCGTGCCAGGCGCCGTGCAGTGACGGGGGCGCGCGCAGCGGGCCGCAGGCGAGCCGGCATGGAGGCGGACGCCGGCGTTCGGCGTCTCGGACGCCTGGCTGCCCAAGAAGGACGCTCTCGAGCACCAGTACTGCCTGAAGGAGGGCGAGCTGGAGTCGACGACGGTCGACGAGATGGGCCTGCTGCCGAGCGGTGACGCGCCCACCGCCGACGAGCCGGCCGCCGACGGCGCCGACACCGGCGTCACGCCCTTCAGGGTACGTGCCGCCGCGTGCCGTGGTGGCGATTCGAAGTGCGGTCAGTACGGCGGGGCAGGTGGCACGGCTTTGGAAGTGGATCGGTACTTTAAAGCTGTTGCCGTATGTTACCAATGCATGCGCGGATTCGCGGATTCTGATCGCTGGGCCGGGCTGATTTTATGCCGAACTCAGCCCAGCCGGTACAGATGGCGACCTTCACGCGTAAGGGTGTTGGGGAATCCCGTCGTGCTCTTCCGGCGAGGAAGTGGGCTGGACCGTCTCTCGCGATGCTTATCATCTGCAGGCGCTTCATCTTGTGCCGCCGTGCTGTTTGCGCGCGTGCCGTCGGCGCCTTACCTATTCTGTGATTCAGTGTTGGGCACGCGCTTTCTCCCAGTCAGTATCACCAGTCCATCCATGACAAACATGTCTTGATTAGTCGCACCGGCACAAGAGGCCTCGCGTTGAGCTTACAGCAGCGGGGTGCCGGCGGCTCCGATGGGTCCGATCGGAGCTCACCGATGGCTCCCATCAAAGCTCACCGGTGGCTCCGATCGGAGCTCGCCGATGGCCCCGATCGGAGCTCGCCGATAGCTTCGATCGGAGCTCGCCGACCGCCCCGCCGGCCGAGGGTCACCGCCCCCTCTCCCGCCGGCTCCAGGTGACCATGTACCAGTGCGCCCAGTGCAAGAACACGTTCAGCACACTGGACCAGTGCGTGAACCACCAGTGCCTGGGCGCGGCGGTCGACTCGAGCCAGCCGGCCGCCGTCACCCAGGAGGCCGTACTGGACGCGGACACAGGGCACTCGAGTAAGGCCGACGGCCGCCACAGCGCCAGGCACGCGCCGCACTGGGGGCAACAGGCTTACCGCCGCGAGCTGCGCGCTGTGTTTGCGGCTCGTACAGGAGTGATGAGAATGTGTGTGGAAAGATGGGCTGTTACCTAAACGGGCTCTGCTTTTTGACGTCTCTGCGCGCCGCGCTCGTCCTCAGGAATAAATGTTTGGGTTTTTATTGTAAGATTTGTTATGTGGAGGTCGTGTGGTGATGAAAATCGGTCGTCACATCCAAAACGCCAATTGTGCTTCATTTCCGTTAATGCTCTTGCCATTCACCTGTGCATTACGACCTGCTACGCAGTCCTGAGGTGGTCCTGTGGTTCTCTGAGTCGCCGACGTATGATCAACATGAGCTGTGGCTGTGTGCGCGCCGCATGTCTGGCTTTGTGTTGTGTACTTGTGACCAACGTGAGCTCTGATGGCTGTGCTCAGACTACCGCTGGGCCCAGCATGACACCGAGGCGTTGCTGGAGATCCTGACCGAGAGTGTGGACAAGTTCACCAACCCCAACATCAAGCGGAAGTTCATATGGATGCAAGTATGCGATCAAATGACGGAGAGGGGATTCAATATCAGTCAGGTGAGCTTTTGAACAACCGAAAGTAGTGCTTAGTGTGGCAGCTGTCTCAATCGTCGCGGACAGTTGAGCTTTGCAATCGCTGCATGTCTCCAAATTGCTAGCTGCTCTGGCTGCTCGGGGTCTGTGATCGCCACGCTCCTCCGCCCCGCGGACCCTCGTGGAGTCTATGTATACAGTGCACCCATCCTATCCCGGCCTCTCGCCGTCTTATGTTTTCGTGGCGTCGCGGCTCGGTGGACCTCTTCCGTGGAAGGCGACGACAGCTGTTGCGTTGCGCATCCGGTGCGACCGCCAATCAAACAATAGATGCTACATTCGGACCGCTGGCAATACTTCCCGCGTCCGTCGGACAGATTGCGGCGTATTCTGTGGGGGTTAACTCCTCCGAACGTTTCACAGACCCCGAGTTTGCTTGTGCTCCGAACGCGACCGCGGCCACAGTATCTCTGAACTTGGCTCGGTTCCAGTCCGCCAGCAGCTGAGAGCGGAGAGGTGCTGATAGCGTGGTGGTTAACGCGTCTGCGCTGGCAACCGCACGTCTGGAAAACCATAGGTGCGGGGGCTTGATTTCCCGCCGTGCCCGCCCTCCATGTCGTCCGCCTGCCCGCCCAGGCAGGCGACCCCGCCATATGACCTCAGCAGCTGAGTACGACAACATCTGAGAACGGACGACACCGGCGCCGTTGCAGATCCAGTGTGAAAACCGCTGGAAAACGCTGAAGGCGATGCATCGCAAGAGCCAGGCGACGGGCTCGTCGCCTCCCTTCTACCGGGAGATGTGCACGCTGTCGGCCGATTATCCACAGCTGATGACAGACGGCGTGTGCCTGGGCGGCGACCGCGAGGCCGGCGCCGGCGGCGACAGGGCAGGTCAGCGGGGGACGGGGCAGGTCAGCGGGGGACGGGGCAGGTCAGCGGGGACGGGGCAGATCAGCGGGACACGGGGCAGGTCAGTGGGGGACGGGGCAGGTCAGCGGGAGACGTGGCAGATCAGTGGGGACCGTTTGAGACAGGTCGTTGTCGGTCGTTGGGGGGGGCCGTTGGAGACAGGGCAGGTCAGTGGGGGGTACCGCTAGAGGCGGGGCAGGTCAGTGGGGGAGCCGTTGGAGACGGGGCAGGTCATTGGGGGGCTGTTGGAGACGGGGCAGGTCAGTGGGGGACCGTTGGTGGCGGGGCAGGTCAGTGGGGGACGGGGGCAGGTCAGCGGGAGACGTGGCAGATCAGTGGGGACCGTTGGAGACGGGGCAGGTCATTGGGGACCGTTGGGGACGGGCAGGTCAGTGGGGAACCGTTGGAGACTGGGCATGGCCAAATCCCTTATCTATAGTTCCAACGCATGATAGTTGGACTGCATTCTATTACAGTACCTCCCGTCGCTGACCTGATGATAGGACGGACACCCATACAGGCATTGACACTGGTATACCGTACTCAACTGGCATGCGCCATCGAACTATGCAAATGAAAGTTGGGTATGTTTGTAAATCGTGATGCCGCGAGACTTAGAATGTGTTGCACGTGTGCGGAACAAAATTCGATGTTGCATTTCCAGGGTCCTGTTCCTTACATCAGCATTTCGTATGGTCAAGACAAACAACACAACCACGAGCTCAGCGCCACCGATCTTGCCTGACGACGTCACGACCCCACCCTTCGGCAGGGACGGCCAACCTGAACAAGACGGTGTGGAACCGCGAGGCGTCGTTGACCATGCTGGCGCTGCTAAAGGCGCGCCACAAGGAGTACTCGGACCCGAGCATCAAGCGCCGCTTCCTCTGGGGCGAGATCTCCGAGGCCATGCGCAACATCAGCATGGACTACACGCCCGAGCAGTGCGAAGGTCGCATGAAGACGCTGCTGCAGGCCTACAAGTGAGCGATGGACTGAGAGGCCTTGCCGTCCCGAGATGGCTCGAATGGTGACGTAGATGCGGACTCTGGGTTCGTAACCGACGTGTTCGGTTGTTTGCGCCGTATTGGTGCGGGCACTGGGCCTGCGTAACGTGAGCAGTCGTGGCTCTTGCGCCCGCTTCTTCTTCTACCCACACATCTCCCCAGTTTGTCACCACTGGCCTCCTGACCGGTCACCGCCACACGGTTCTTGCCCTGAATGGCCACCGCTTCATCCCGCGCCCACTGATTGGTCGCTTGTCCACCGCACGCCCCCTGATTGGCCGCGACTCCAGCACTCGCGATCTGATTGGCGATAACCCCTCCGCCCACGACGCCCGAGCGCCTGCGTCGACTGACGGTCGCCGTGCGCCCGCAGGCGGGCCCAAATGCGCTGGGAGCTGTCCGGCGAGGAAGTCGAGTCCGACTGCTACTACCAGGTGGACGAGCTGGTGCGACTGATCCCAGAGCTGGCGGCGGGCGCGGCCGGGCGCGGTGGCGCCGAGCCTGGGCCGCACCGGCACCGAGCCGGCCAGCCGCGCCGCCGCCGCCAGCCGCGCCAGGCGCGCCAGCGCGACCTCATCGCCTGGCTGGACGGCTGGCTGCAGGAGCAGCGCCGCTGGGACGAGGCCATGGTGGCGGCGCTGCGTGCCCAGCACACCGAGCGGCTGCGCGTGATGAGCGAGATCCGCGAGGAGCTGCGCGCCGGCGGCGGCCGCGTGCCGGTCAGCCGCGCGCCGCCGCCCGTGCCCGCGCCGCCCAGCGATGACCCGCTCGTGGCACAGGTGTTTATCGGATAACGCCGGCCGCGAGTGCCGACCGACCAACTGACTGTGATTGACTTCATCATCGCACACTGTACATATCATGGACGGGCTGGTGCACCGCTCGTGTTTTGTTGATTTTTTAGGGTGGATTGACGTGTGGAGTCGCGTCCATTCGGCGAATGCCTGTGGCGTGAATGGACGTTCGGTGCGTTTGTGCTGCCCATGTGTCCAAGTTACAGCTAAGGCGTTTTTATATTCCTGAAATGTATTACACGCATGATCGACGTTGATTCACGTAATTTTCCTTTAGCATAACAAAATGTAAATGAATAAAACCGTCACAGCACACTAAATTTGTAAAGATTGTACATGTGCCCAGCGCACCAGCCGTGCTCTCGACCTGTACAACCGCGCATCGCATTTGAATCTCCCGGCGGTAATCGGGTTAAACACAGAGCAAGCAAACACCGCAAGAGGCAACCGCCACTGATGCTACAGCAGCTGCGGAAGCCGCTGGACTCCCACCCGCAGCATCGGAATCATAGGCCCCAAGAAGGCAGTGGGTGCCATTCTCGCGGAAACCGCCACCCGACACCATGAAAACGTGGCACCCCGCCGTAAATGGCAACCAGATAACTCTACGCGTAACACAAGTATGCCATGCTTGGTCATGGTGTGGGAACTGGCCCACCCGCCGGATTGCGGTCGCACGGCGTCGGAAACCCCTCCACGGCCGCAACGCTAGCTCGCTTGTGGTGTAAGCACAAGAGGGAATCGACGCAGAGCGTGGTCTGCCGGGCATCACCCCACACCCAAAGCCTGGTGCGGCGCCAGCCATCCACATGAAGATCAACGCACTGAGCCTATCACGCGCAGCATCTGCGCAGAAGCCGTTCTCGTGATTCGACCAGTGATGACCGCCGTCCGCAGATAACCGCGCAGGGAATTTCCATTTTGCTGGCGATGCTCGACTACAAGCCGCGGATACTCCAGGGGATTAGATATGCCTGGCAAAAACCATGCATGACAACTGGCAAGACAGTGAGGATCAGTTGATTACTGAGCAGCGATATGGCTTCGTTGATTTCCCTTTTGGTTCAAAATACACCCCACCCTTCTGCAATCTACCTCGAGAATGAACTATGCTGCCATACAGAAAACAAACTGTGACAACCAATTCACAGCAACCGTGCAACAACCATGCGATTTCACATCCGCGGCAAACGCCCGCCATTCGCATGTTCCAAATACTGACAGCAAATGGAAGTCTGAGACCACTTTCTGACTTCAGCACACACACAGCAAGTGGGCAATCCTGATGCGCTGATTTGACGGAGGGCAGTGCGATCAGCACCAGCACAGTATTTTGCATAATCCCATGGCGTCGCGCAGGACGTCACTGTTGACTAGGTACTGGCCAGGGTGGAGCCTTCAGGCTGTTACCGACGCATCACAGCTGACATCTGGACAGCTGGCTGCAGGCCCAGCTCGGAGGCGCGTGCCTCCTGCACGCGCAGCAGCTGGGCGATGGTGACGTGCCGGCCTGACACCTCTTCTTGGAGGTAGTGCCGCTCCTGAAGCAGCTGGCCCAGGCTCTGTGACACCTCTGCCAGTCATAGGTCAGCAACAAGTTATGGCATGTGGTCAATGAAAGGATGATAGCAATAGGTGAAAACTTGACATGCTTCATGGAGCACTGTTATCTGTGGGTTATATTCAGCAACTGCCATTTCATATACATGGTGGTTAAATACAGCTGTGTCTACATGGCTTGAGTAAACAGATACATGGATACAAATGAATGAAATACAACAGCATGCAGGCAGTATGTTTGATGCAAACTCATCTGGAGAAAGAAGCCAATCTCATGTGCTGACATATTGGCAACCAACAATAACACAAACCTTGAATGCTGCATATCAGCTGGTTCTTCAGGGTAAGAATCTCAGGAATGGACACCTGATTAACTGCAAAAAGAAAAAGCTCAAATTAAAACGGCTTAAGCCCCATCACTTGTCCGCCATTTCACTGCATCTAGATATTCACCTAAACCTCTTTGCTTTCACCTAAGGTGGCATTCCCAACACCTAAAAGGCTCAAAGGCTTTGGAGAATAGCAGCAGTTCATATGCTAAAATGAAACAGCTCATGGTAATTGGAGACTCAGAGAAAATGTCCGACACAGTACATTGGTCAATGGGGGATTCCCATTGTCTGTGATTAAAAATATACATGTAAGCATACTTACGCTGGCTTGCAGACACTTGATGTCTGCAAGCTTTGGCACTTTCTTCACATATGTTCACCACAAATTTTCCATCTGTTATACTAGGACTGGCATCTAGAGATGAACTGTGCCCACTTTCAGCAATGTTGCCCTGCTGAATTGTGCTGTCCATGTTTTCCACCAGTAACCACATCTAACTCAAACGCTACATACATGGACAGCCACATGAATACGGGTCGCACTGAAGACAATTGAATCCGGTGCTTGGCCCAAGTAGATATGTACCTACATATGTAACTGGAGGTCCCAATCCGCCATAGTCTTATCAGGAGCAGGATTGGGCCAGGGTCTTGGGTCAACCCATGGGTCCACGGCAAAATCGCTTCTTATCCGAGTCCCCCCGACCCCTATCTTGAGTATCAAAAAGGCTCCAGGGTGTTGGTAAAATGAGCAGCGCTGAGTACAATAACATCCGAAAACGATCAGCTGCTGCCGCGAGATACCGGCCCGCGAGGAGGCCCGAGGATGACCTTGGAACCGGTAGAACTCTACGAATGCCTGTGATAATTTCACTAAATTACCGCACTATGACTGGGTTGTTACTTTTCCGTGTGATGCCGGCAATGGTGAGAGTAAAAGCCTTTAACTTACTCACATATTTCTTTTACTTACTTGGTGACGGGGAATTTTGTTTCCATCTAAATGGCTTAAAACACATTTTGTAGCTTGACATCCAAATGTATGTTTGCGGTTCCCCGTAGCAACCCTCCGCGTATGCACTCCTGAAATTTTGACTAGGAAAAGTGTTTTCTCAAGCAAAAATAAGGCATGATGCAATCTCTCATTGCATATTACTTTTTGTAGGTTTTCATTGGGACGCAGAAGCATGTTTTCTATACCATCCTCTTCCGTTTGAATAATTGAAGCATTTTAGTGTCTCCCGTCCTGAGCAAACGTCGTCGTCGCGTCATCGTCGGCGAAGGGTCACGTCAGCGTTAGTCCTCATCACTGTCGCTGGAGTCATCATTGCTTCGGCGGGTGGACGATGAATAGGTAATTTGGGGTGTCCAGTCCAGTCATAAACACTTCAGGAGCATATTGTACGCTTGGTTTCCATCAAGGCTGAAAAGTGAATGTAACGTGGCGTAGGAATACTCGAAAGCGCTCTACGCGGCAAGTGATAGGCGGAGTGCCGTTATGAGACCTCTACGGCAGCCCTGCCATTTATATTACAAGGTAGTGGGGGCCCTGATTTTCATGGTACCAGGTACCGGGGTATCGAGGTGCCAGGCATGTTGCAGTGTCATTGGTGTATAGTATATTTTCAAGACATTGAGGCGGCCCCTCTGAACTCATCTCTTCCTCTGTTCCTCACTGTGTGTACACACCTAATGTTTTGCTACTCTAGTGTTTAGCAGTGTGGATGCTGATCCTGTTGTCTGGCAGACTCAGTAAGATAGGGAGCTGTAAAAGAAAATCAGGTATTTGATATAAGCTTGCCTGTGTGCCAGGAAAGCACATCAGGGTGCTGATCTGCATTTCACTTTAATTTTTTGCCACTAATTATGTAATTTTTTAAGCTGTTGCAAAATCCCATTAAGTGCATGTGCAATATATCCAGCAATGAAATGGCTGAAATGCCTATCTACCCCCTCAGTGTCAAGCAGCAGGTGGGGGTGGTAAGGGACACATCTTACTTTTACAGAGCATTTTCTCCCCAATTTTTGCCGCAAAATGTAGGTATTTTATAGTTTTCAGTTTAAGTGCACCATTTTAAAGAAAGACTTCTATCAGACTCCAAATTTTTATTTGCCTGTACCTGTTGGTTCTGGTGAGGTTGATGGCCCATCTTACATGATGCTTCTGTTGATGCTTTTATTGATGCCTTTTGTTTTGCTGGATCTAGAATGAGTAACACCCACTTGAACTATGATTTAAAGGCTGACAGAGCATTTTATCAACCAAGTTTTATGTGGGGATTTTCAAAGACAATGGCTCAGCATGAAAAGTGCCTGGCAGCCTGTCTATACTGTTAATGCTACATGCATGACAATATGCTTTATTTTAGATGGATATTATAGTTTAAACTCATTAATGAGTGCACATATTTACTCTGTCTGATATGTTTTACCAACACTAATGTACTCTTTTTTGAACATATACATACCTTAGGGTTTCTTATGCTATTCATATTCCATTCTTTACAGGGGCCCTATCTGAGCCTTATCTACCATCATATGTTCATCTAGTATCAGCTGGACACTGCTGCAGGAGTGCAGAGATGCATCTGCCCTGGCTGCTGCTGGCCGCGCTGCTGGCGCCCTCTGGCGGAGAGGAGCGGCACCAGCCGGAGGTGGCGGCGCCGGAGCAGCCTGCACATGGTGGCGCCATGGTCCTGGTGCGCTCTGAGTTGACAGTGGCAGAGTCGACAGATGGCATCAAGGGCGAGAAGGGCCGCCAGCTGGAGGAGGAGGAGGGGGCGCCGGGAGAGGCGCGCGGCGCCGCCGGCCGCGAGCAGGAGGCTGACGCTGCGGCTGGCCGCGGGCGCGAGCCACTCGGCTCGGCCGGCGCCGAGGAGCGGGAGGCGGGCAGCGTCATTGAGCCTCCGCCGCCGGCCGGCACGGGCCCCGGGGACGCCATCAAGGAGGTGGAGGCCCCCGACCTAAGCGGCCAGGAGCCGCTGCTGAAGAGCATTGGCGACAGCTACTTCAAGCCCAGCAGTCCGCCAAAGCAGGAGAACAAAGACTCGGAATTGATGACGGAGCAGGAGCGGCAAGGTAAGCGTTTTTGTCATCTGTATTTGCAGTAGGTTTGACGGTACACCTGCTTTCATCGGACGCTCGTGTTAACAATGAATGCTGGTGGGTGCGCGTATGGACGTCAACTGGTCATGCTATTGGCATGCCCAAGAATCCCCAGTTGTCATGTGGTCCGTGCTTAGATGAAGAAATCGGCAGGGCACGCTCACCCGACCCCGTGACCATGAGACCTGAGACTGGCATTAGGCACAGCATCTGTCTGCCTGTGTACCTGGTCTGCATCCTGGCTTAAACGTGCTCTTCAACCATCCCTCAGCCACCGACGCTGCTCGAGCCCCACTTTCACGGCATGGCCCCCGGGAGGGCGGGGGATAATCTGCCCAGCAATGAGAGTTTCTCACCCGGCCTGGCAAGCCATTCATATAAACCTAGCGTTTCGCCCAGCCCGCCCGTCGGACTCATCCTGCTGTGACCGAAGAGCCGTTCGACGGCGGCGAGAAGGTGTCGTCTCTAGTCAGGCACGACACAGCTCGCGCACCGTCCCCTGACCTCCCGTGTCACTGCTGTCGCGCAGCGGAGGAGCTTTTCAGCACAGGCGAGAAGCTTCTGTCGCGCTCGCGGCCGGACTGGACGCGCAGCTACCAGCTGTTGGAGGAAGCGGCGCGGCTGGGCCACGAGGCGGCGGCCGTACGGCTTGCCTGGGCGCGCCTGCTCGGCTCACACCTGACCCAGGACGTGCCGGCCGCGCGCGACACCTTCCAGCGGTTGGCCAGCCGTGGCTACCCCGAGGCGCAGATGGTGAGGCGCGGACTGGCGTCGCCGAATGTCGACTGCCGGCGCTCTGTGACGGCGTGTCGAGTGTCCGTGACCTCGCGCGTCATTGAGAATCACGTCCTGAATTGAGTCATAGTGAGCGACAGGGCGTGGGATGACCCGGTGAAATGTACCGTTGTGTGGATGTGTTTTGCTGATCTTGCAAGAGGAAAGCTTGGCATGAATGTTTGGGAGTCGCCGGCCTTGAGACGGAATGCGCGTGTTGAAGGGTGGATTGTGTGTAGAGTTGAGCGGCCGGGCGGCTCCGGCGACGTCAGTGGCCCGGCCATCGGACCCGTCGCGGCGGCCATCGTTACGTCACGGTCATCACCACATCGCCACCACCACAACTCTGACTCAGTGCCGTACGGACAGGCGATGGGCTTCATGTACGCGCTCGGCCTGGGCGTTGACTCGAGCCAGGCCAAGGCGCTGCTTCACTACACGTTCGGCGCGCTGGGCGGCAGCTCCTGGGCCCAGATGGCGCTGGCCTACCGCCAGTTCTACGGCATCAACACGGCCTCCAGCTGCGAGGCGGCGCTCATGCACTACCGCAAGGTGTGCGCGACAGGTGAGAGCTCGTGCTGTCGGCCGGCGCAGCAGCCACTGGCCACTCCCCATGTCTGGGAGCAGGGTGGCGACAGAGCCCGTGTGGAACCGACAGGCTCGCGCTTGCTACGCTGCTGGTGCGATCGGCGCCAGGGGGTGTAATGGTGTGCTCCGTAGCGTGGCGACCCAGAGAGCAGGGAATCGTGGCGGACGTGTTGACGCGCGCAGCTATAGGTCTTGTTGTTCACTGTCGTGGACGATCACTCACGTTGAGCGAACACGAAGCTGGGAGAGGCTCATCCATGCAGTCCGCTTCGCTCCCAGTAGGTCATCGATAGTCCAGGTCCCACGCACATGTCGCGCCTGTCCCGGGTCTGTGTCGCGAGTCTGTGTCGCCGGCCGGCCGCGGCGTCACCGGTCTCACGCGCCGCCCTCCCCGCAGTGGCGGACCAGGTGTCACTGTCGGGCGGCAACACTGTGTCGCGCGTGCGGCTGTACGACGAGGCCGAGAGCACGGGCGGCTCCAGCTCCACCCTGGACGAGGATCTCATCCAGTATTACCAGTTTTTGGCCGACAAGGGCGACGTGCAGGCGCAGGTGGGCGGCGGCGGGCGGCGTGCCGGCTCAAATGACGCGCGATCGGCCGGATGGCAGGGTGGATGGGACGGCGTGGCCGGTGTTGTGTGTGGGCGGTGTGCGTGCTCTACCAGTTGGGAGTGGCTGTTGAAACTCTTAGCATCAATCTGTATGAGCAGTTCTCTCTTTTCCTAGCTTGGTATCGAAATTTCAAAGTGATCGAACAAATAGAAACGGGTTTTAAAAGTGCGGCTTCCACGGCTTGTAGACTTGTTTGGTCATTTAGACGAGCATTTAATGAAGTCTGTATTTCATTGGTGCCTGCCTCCCCCTTCCCCCTCTCGCGGGGTACCTGTCCCGATCCCGCACTGCCCCCGACTGCTGCGTGTGTCCGCCGCCGCGCGCTGCCTGACCTGTGACCGGCGGCACCAGGTGGGTCTGGGGCAGCTGCACTACCAGGGCGGCCGCGGCGTGGAGCGAGACCACCAACGGGCCTACGAGTACTTCGTGCAGGCCGCCGACGCCGGCAACCCCAACGCCATGGCCTTCCTGGGCAAGGTCAGAACCGGCTGATGTGCGTGGAGTACTCACCGTGGTTATCTACTCTGCCTGGGTGGGTGTCGGGTTGTCGTGCCAGTTTTGACGTATTTGCTCGGACACACTCGAATACCTTAGGAGCTTTCGGATAGGTACTGCCGACTTTCGTTTTTTAAGTGGCATGTTTTGGAGCGTCTGCCAAAAAAGTTTGCTGTCGCGCGAGAGGACACTTCTGTAATTCTCAACATGTTGAGAGCCCTGTGGACACTTTTCATATGAAGCCGTGGGATATTTCCTGCGCGATGTACCTGTCGCAGCACGTGGCCACACCGCCTCACGAATATAACCCCGCGACCATAGCCGTCATGGCCTGCGCACGGCGGATCAGGCCGTGCTCCTGACCTGGTGACCGTGACATCCAGACCTTACGTAGCTATGTCCTCCGTCTGTGTACTCCGTCTGTGTCCTTTGTCTGCGTCCTCCGTTTGCGTCCTCCGTCTGTGTCCCCTGTCTGTGTCCTCCGTCTGTGTCGTCCCCTGTCTATGTCCTCCGTCTGTGTCCTCCGTCTGTGTCCTCTGTCTGTGTCCTCGTTGTCCTCCGCCTGTGTCCTTTGTCCGTGCCCTCCGTCTGTGTCCTCCGTCTGTGTCTTCCGCCTGTGTCCTCCGTCTGTGTCCTCGTTGTCCTCCGTCTGTGTCCTTTGTCCGTGCCCTCCGTCTGTGTCCTCCGTCCGTGCCCTCCGTCTGTGTCCTCCGTCTGTGTCCTCTGTCTGTGTCCTCGTTGTCCTCCGCCTGTGTCCTTTGTCCGTGCCCTCCGTCTGTGTCCTCCGTCTGTGTCTTCCGCCTGTGTCCTCCGTCTGTGTCCTCGTTGTCCTCCGCCTGTGTCCTTTGTCCGTGCCCTCCGTCTGTGTCCTCCGTCCGTGCCCTCCGTCTGTGTCCTCCGTCTGTGTCCTCTGTCTGTGTCCTCGTTGTCCTCCGCCTGTGTCCTTTGTCCGTGCCCTCCGTCTGTGTCCTCCGTCTGTGTCTTCCGCCTGTGTCCTCCGTCTCGCTGAGCCAGTCCTATGCTATTGCGGCTATTGGATCATCGAGCCCGACCAGCGCCGCCGCCGCCGCCGCAGATGTACCTGGAGGGCAACGACGTCGTGCAGCAGGACAACACGACGGCCCTCAAGTACTTCGAGAAGGCGGCTGAGTTGGGCAACCCGGTGGGCCAGAGCGGTTTGGGCTTCATGTACCTGTACGGCAAGGGCGTGCCCAAGGACTTCAGCCGTGCCGTCAAGTACTTCGCCCTCTCCGCCGACCAGGGCTGGGTGGACGGCCAGCTGCAGCTCGGCAACATGTTCTTCAGTGAGTGGCTGGACGCGGCCGGCCGTGGCTGCCCGCGGCGGCGGCCGTGGCTGCGGAGGCGGTGCGGTGAGAGATGTGCCGGTTCGCGGTGAATGTGCTGTGCAGGGGCAGCGGTGGGTGGTGGCACCGCGGATCTGTGGAGACCAGCCGCGCGGGGTTCGCGGCGTCCAGGGCGCCCGCCGGTCAGCGGGGTAGCGTCTGGCAGCGGGGGCTCCGTTCCCGCCGCGCGGGCGTGCCGGCGGCCCCCCAGCGCGGCCGGCGCCCACCGTCCGGTGCTGCGGCTGAGCGTCAACGGTCCGTCCGCAGACGGCCAGGGCGTGTCACGTGACTTCAAGATGGCCATCAAGTACTTCAACCTGGCGTCGCAGGGAGGCCACGTGCTGGCCATCTACAACCTGGCGCAGATGCACGCCTCTGGCGCTGGTGTGGTCCGCTCGTGCCAGACGGCCGTGGAGGTGAGACCGGCGCGAGCTCAGGTCCCGTCGGAGGCTCGTGGCCTGGTCGGGGTTAAGATGTGTGCTCTTATCATGATATGATCCTGTCCCCGTATCACATATCAGGATCATCATAAGAGTCAAGGATGAATAAGTCCTGTCCGAGACTCATGGCAGGTCAGGGGTGGGAAGTTAGGTCTCGTCCGACACTCACGGCATGGTTGCAAGATCAGGGGTGCGAGGTAGGATCCCATTCGAGACTCATGGCAAGGTCAGGAGTGCGGTGTCGGGCCCCCTCCGGGACTCATGGCAAGGTCATGACTGCGATGTCGGGTCCCCTCCGGGACCCATGGCAAGGTCAGGAGTGCGGGGTCAGGTCCCGTCCGAGACTCATGGCAAGGTCATGACTGCGATGTCGGGTCCCCTCCGGGACCCATGGTAAGGTCAGGAGTGCGGGGTCAGGTCCCGCCCGAGACTCATGGCAAGGTCAGGAGTGCGATGTCGGGTTCCCTCCGGGACCCATGGCAAGGTCAGGAGTGCGAGGTCAGGTCCCCTCCGGGACTCATGGCAAGGTCATGACTGCGATGTCGGGTCCCCTCCGGGACCCATGGCAAGGTCAGGAGTGCGGGGTCAGGTCCCGTCCGAGATTCATGGCAAGGTCAGGAGTGCGATGTCGGGTCCCCTCCGGGACCCATGGCAAGGTCAGGAGTGCGGGGTCAGGTCCCCTCCGGGACTCATGGCAAGGTCATGACTGCGATGTCGGGTCCCCTCCGGGACCCATGGCAAGGTCAGGAGTGCGGGGTCAGGTCCCGTCCGAGATTCATGGCAAGGTCAGGAGTGCGATGTCGGGTCCCCTCCGGGACCCATGGCAAGGTCAGGAGTGCGAGGTCAGGTCCCCTCCGGGACTCATGGCAAGGTCATGACTGCGATGTCGGGTCCCCTCCGGGACCCATGGCAAGGTCAGGAGTGCGGGGTCAGGTCCCCTCCGGGACTCATGGCAAGGTCATGACTGTGATGTCGGGTCCCCTCCGGGACCCATAGCAAGGTCAGGAGTGCAGGGTCAGGTCCCCTCCGGGACTCATGGCAAGGTCGTGACTGCGATGTCGGGTTCCCTCCGGGACCCATGGCAAGGTCAGGAATGCGAGGTCAGGTCCCCTCCGGGACTCATGGCAAGGTCATGACTGCGATGTCGGGTCCCCTCCGGGACTCATGGCAAGGTCAGGAGTGCGAGGTCAGGTCCCCTCCGGGACTCATGGCAAGGTCATGACTGCGATGTCGGGTCCCCTCCGGGACTCATGGCAAGGTCAGGAGTGCGGGGTCAGGTCCCGTCCGAGACCCCTTGCAAGGGATGCGAGGTCACGTCTTTTCGGAACTCATTGACAAGGTCAGCGGTTTTGTCAGAACTCATTGACAAGGTCAGCGGAGGTAGCCAAGGCAGCTGTCAGCGGTTTTGTTAGACGGCCTTGGAGGCGAGTCCACCGCGAGGTTAGGTCAGGTGCCGTCGGAGACTCTTGGAGTCGAGACCGCGGCTGACACGTTCTCTTCTTGAAACGTGTCCGTGCGCCTGTGTGTGCCTGTGTGCCCGTATGTCGGGTGTGTGATCGCACGTTGACAAAGTGTCTTTACTGACGTGCGTCTGCGTGTGGTTGTTTCGTGTATGTGCATTCACGTGGGCACTTGGCCATGGTCAGTTGAATGTGTCGGTGGGTAGGCTTTCTGTGCTGTTGGACGTGATGGGGACCGAGGGGGGGGGGGGGCTAATGAGGCGCACATGCTGTGCGCCACCGCTCTGACACCGTCGCCGCCGCCTTTGCCAGCTGTACAAGAACGTGGCTGAGCGCGGCCGCTGGTCGGAGCTGTTCATGGAAGCCCACAACGACTACAAGGCGTATCGGTTCTCTGCGGCGCTCACCAAGTACTACCTGTTGTCAGAGCTCGGCTATGAGACGGCGCAGAGTAACGTGGCCTTCCTGCTCGACAAGGGTGAGCCTCGTTGCGAAGGCGGTCCAGGGACGGGGAGGGGTGGCAGGGGGTCAAGGAGGCGATCCAGGAATAAGGGTGAGGTAGACTGGGGCGATTGCAGGATGGGTGACGGCGGCGGACGCTGCCGTCACCAGTGCGTCCCCCCTACTGAGGTATACCGCCGTGCAGCGGCCGGTGGGCTGCGTATCCCGCCACCTGACCTCGCCTCCCACGTGTGTCAGGCGTGGCCAGCCTGTTCCCGGAGGAGGAGAAGTACACCCGCGCGCTGCTCAGCTGGGGCCGCGCCGCCACACAGGGCTACGGCGTGGCGCGCGTGAAGCTGGGCGACTACCACTATTACGGCTACGGTGAGCGGCCGGTCGCCACGGGCGGGGGGCTGCATCGCTCCGGCCATGCCGGCGGTGGCATGCGCTCGGCCGGGGTCCGTCGTCTGTGGTGTGTGGTCGTGCCAATGGCTGTTGTCCGGAAGTTCGTGTCGGTGTCATTGGGCATCAGTTGTCCGCGTGACCAATTAATGGTTGGTGGGAAATATGGTGAGCTAAGTGAAGCAACTCGTGAGAATCCAGGCGTGGTGAACTTGCTGATGGCAGCGTTAGGCAGCAGCGTCAGTTGTGATTGAGTCCTGGGCCTTCACCGCCAGCACCAGAGCTGTGATAGCATCAGCACGAATATACTTTAATATAGCGCTTGAACACACTGGCTGCACCGTGCTTAGCTAGTCCGGTATTTGTTTCACAACGAAGCCACCTTTCGGCAGGGACCCCGGTGGACTACGAGGCGGCGTTCGACCACTACCGGATGGCGTCCGAGCAGCAGCAGAACGCCCAGGCCATGTTCAATCTGGGCTACATGCACGAGCAGGGACTGGGCATACAGCGGGTACGGCGCGGCAGCCCGCCTGGACATTGTTGTGCTGAATGTCGGTTCTCTCGCTCTTTCTACCTTCGCTCGGTAGCGGTAGCTTAGGGGCTTCTTAGGCAAATCTAAGGAACTACGTCTAGTTCTTAACCCATTATTCTTGGACTGCAGCTTAGCATATGCCAGACCTGGACTCATTTTGCTCGGGCTTGATTCCCGTTATGATTGGCCATGGATCGGCCCATGATTGCATCCATCAGAACAATAGTTGTTGAGTTAAATATGTTGGAAACTGCGGGCGTGCTATCGTGATACATTTGGAAGTTTTTTTAGGTAGGCTTTTTCTCCTGACGCTGTAAGAACTTTTCAAAGGGTTAGCCAAAAAAACAGGAGCGCAACGGGAGACGAGTAGCAAGTGATGGTATATGCATCATGGAAATGGTTCATTCCATAGCGTTTTGATTCTAAGTATTCTACCCAAAATTGGTAGCATTCCATTTTTTTTTTGTTATTTAGCAGGTCCGAAAAACTCATTTCTTGTTCGATAATTTTTCTCGTTTTAAGAAAAATGGAATTATAGCATTTTCTTGGAAAGCCTGATCCCAGCATCGTCCAACATTGGGTCGGTATTGCTCGACTCGAGTCCTAGCGCTGCTCCACCTGAGCCCCGGTATTGACCGACTTGATCCCAAGAGTTTGAGGGCCTCAGTCCCAGCATTCATGCTTGACTTTGGCCCAATTTTGCTCGTCTCAAGCCGCGCTGTTGCTGTGAGATCATCACGCCTGGACCTCTGTTCAACTTATCTTCGCTGCGGCTTAGCTTTGCTCCCCGCGGAACACGTCGGCCGGCCGTGTCGCCCCTCACGTGCCCCTGCCGTCCCACATGTTCCCCTGACGCCCCTCATGTGCCCCTGACGCCTCTCACGCACCCCTGCCGCCCCTCACCGTGTCCCTGACGCCCCTCACGTACCCCTGCTGCCCCTTACGTACCCCTGCCGCCCCTCACGTGTCCTCGCCGCCGCAGGACATCCACCTGGCTAAGCGGTTCTACGACATGGCGGCAGAGACCAGCCCGGATGCCCAGGTGCCCGTGGCACTGGCCATGGCCAAACTTGGCGCCCTCTTCCTCTTCCGGATAGCGGATGAGGTCAGTCGAGGGGGAGGCAGGGCACGAGGTCATTCGACGGAGGTGGAGGAGTTTGTGGGGCGGTCACTGGGTGGGGTGCTCTGGCTTTTGGGATGGCAGGACACGAGGTCATTCGGCGGAGGTGAAGGAGTTTGTGGGGCGGTCACTGGATGGGGTGCTCCGGCTTTCGGGATGCCGGGCGAGGTCGGGGGACCCCTTCAGGTGCCTTCTTCCAGCTGTTGGTGTGAACGTTGCATGTAACTCGCTGCGGCGTCACTAGCAGTGTTGTGGTTTGTAACTGTTGGATGCGTGATCAACTCGTGTGCCCTTTGCTTTATGTATGTGCCGCTTGAAGCACAGCTGTTGTAACGTTTGCTTGCTTATTTGTGTGCGATGACACGGAGAAGCTGATATTGTGGAGAATATGACGCAGCCCTAGAGGTACTGAAAGCATCTCAAAATGGTAATGTTGAAAATATTTCCCGTTGCTAACCTAAGTTCGTGATGTGCGCGGTTCGGTCGCCCTTTTCTCGGTGTGTGGTAAGGTCTACCATGTTGCGAAATGGAAGGAGACTTGAGACGGGACGGGAGGGGCCAGTCCGAGTTCAAGTTGAGGCTCCGGTGCTCATTAGCGTCGTCGGCCGGCGCCGCGTCACCCGATTCGTTAATGGTTCGTAGCTGTGCCGCCCACAGCGGGGAACAAGGGCTAGCTCGCTGATTGGCTGCAGTCCACGGATGGTGTCTGTGGGTCTCGCAGGTCTCGTGGCTGTTGATACCACACCCGAGGTCTTCGCAAATAATACCTAGAGTGTGACCACACGATGGAATGGCACTGTCCGTCCGCGCCACTTCCCTTGAAGCGGTAAATAAACTGCCGCTCATAGTGTACAAGCGGGCATTATTGTCCGTACTGCGCTTCAGGTCTGGCCCAATTTCCTTCACACAAGGCAGCTCTGGCCCATTTCCACGGGCCAGACTGGTCGCTCCCAGTGCGCGGGCGCCCCAGACGAGTCCGTCGCGGGGCCGTGTGCGGACCGCTCCCCCCGCGTCTCACCATGTCGCCCCCTGCAGTCGGACTGGAGCGACTACCTGCCGCTGGCCTCGGTCAACCGGCTGCTGGGTCCCGACTGGGACATCTACCTGATGACGCTGCTCTCCGTGCTGCTCGGCTTGGTGGTGTTCTTCCGGCGGCCGCGATGAGACGCGCCGCGCCCGCCACAGACTGGCGCCTCGCGTCGCTCGGCCGGCGCGCGCTGCGGACGGATCGGTGCCGGACGCCGGTGGCGGAGTGACGGGACCGGAGGTGGGCCGCGCGGCGCCGCGTTCCGTGCCGGCCGCTGGCTGGTGGCTGACCGGCGCGTGGTGAGCGCCGGCGCCCTCCTCAACGAAGGTGGTGATTGTAAGTGGGACGTGGCCCGTCGGGTGACGGCCCCCGGGCGATCGCGTGGTGTGGCGTGACGGGATGACATGTTATTATTTTCCCTGTGATAGTAGGGTCGGTTTGATCACCCAGCCAGACGTGTGTGTCACAGGCGGGCACCATCGCTCCACTGCTCAGCTTCGGGCCACGTTCGGGCCAGTCAGAGACGTCACACTATCATTTGAGCGGGCCGTTCGAACGGCGCTGGTCGAGCCCGGTCACGTGCGATGCGCCTCCGTGGTGGCGCCCGCCGTCGGTCGGGTGGATCGGTGACGGTTCGGTGTGGAGTGGGGTGGGCGGCGAAGCGGGAGTGCCGCGGCTGGGCCGTTAGCGCTCTGTCGTGTCCTGTTGTAAGGAGCCACAATAAAGAGCACCTGAAGTGGACCGCCAGCGCGTAGCGGAAGCCGCGACACCATGCAGCACCCCAGCGAGAGCTCGCGTGCTCTTCAGAGAGATCTTCAAATGTATGTGACGGCACGCAGCGGTTCTGCCCCTCCCCTTCATCTGTCGGTCAGACGCCCGGTTCGTGATTACATGATGTATTGTCTTATTTAGCTAGTCACACGCGCGGGCCGTGCAACGCGTCGATGAGATAATTAGCTGCGGAGTGCGGCCGCCCGGCATCGGCGCGCGCGTCGCCCGCCGGCACCACTGGTGCGGCGGTTGGTGCCGGAGGAGCCTGGCGGGCACCACACGCGGGCGGGGCGGACGCGCGCGCCGGCGGCGCTGCCGGCCGCGCCGGTCCGCGCGGCTGGTGTACAAAAACGCGGCGCGGCCGTACGGTATAAAACGGGGTGGCGTTCGGTGAGGCGCGCCGGGACGGCGGCCGACGGGCTAGGGCCGGCTGGGGCGGCCCGCGGCTGCGAGCTGGGGCCGTCCCACCCGCATCATTCGAAGATGAGCGACGCCGAGGCGTAGCTCACCGACGAGTCGTTGATTGAGCGGCACTGGCTGGACTGCGCGTACTTGAGGAACTTCAGCTTCATCCGGTGGCCGTTAGGCGTCTCGTTCAATTTGGCCACGGCCTGCCGGGGAGGATGGGGCGGCGGAGCGTCAGCAGGAGGCGTACTGTGACCTCGAGTTTTCCCCCCATGATAACGAGGGTCGTCCCTCTGTATTGGATTTTTTCGCTGGCGCCAGCTTCACCGATTTTGCTGCGTGATCGCCATCGGCTGCTACCATTTTTACCAGCATCTCATGAAGCACAACGCAGATGCGTGCGTTTGCAGCTACGGAAGTTGAGCCCTGGACATATTTCATAACGGAGATGCAAAGAGCTCCAGAAGATACAACGCTACACGTCGCGTCACGAAGACGACAGTCTGAGTAGCTCCAACGGCTCCATGCAAGCCGCCGCGGGGCTGTAGTACTGCGGGGAGACAAGCAGGACACCAGGACGACTAATGGAGAGAGAAAGAGAGTAAGTCTACGTGTTAGCGCTATAGCGCAGGCCTGCAGAATGCAATGAGAAGCGTCCAGCCAGCTGATGCCGACCGAAGCCCCCTACGCCATGCCAGGGCCGGCCCTGCACGCCTCCAGCGGTCTCCAAAGCGTGGCACGGCGCCCCGGCTACAGCTCACGCACACTGCCAGGCCATGCAGCTGAGGGACTGAACCCATCAGCCTCCACCGCGCCGTCACGTCCAGCGCGTCAGCACACAGCTGACGGCGCCATGCAGCTGAGGGACTGAACCCATCAGCCCCCACCGCGCCGTCACGTCCAGCGCGTCAGCACACAGCTGGCGGCGCGGTAGCGGCGACCGGGCTCCCACTGCACGAGCAGACAACGCGCCAGAACAAAACCGACCGACAGAGACGCCGTCACGCAGCCAGCGAGCGCGGCGGAACAAAGGCGACAGAAGCGAGGCCGCTGCTCATATCGCAAGCGGCGAGAGTCCGCCTAAGCCTGCCGGGTCAGCGGGCCGGCCAGACGCGGCGCCCGCGGCCCATCACACGTACTGCGGCCGCGGGCGGCCGGCTCACGAGAACACCAGCGAGCCGGCCGCATAGCTGACGGACGAGTCGGCCGGCGTGCGGCACCTGTCCGACTGGCGGTAGCAAAGAAACTTGAAGGCCATACGTGGCGGCCGTCGCGAGCTACGTAACGCCGCCGCCGCCTACAACCAGGACAGAAGCCGGTGCCAGTGCGCGGTGCGGCGGGGCGGGCCGGGTCAGGTCGCGGTCACGGCCTCGACTCGCCGCCCAGACGCGACTCGTCCGTGGCGGCGAGGCGAGCTCACAAGACTGGCTGACGTTAAAAATGGCCGTGTGTTCGGGGACTGCGAGACCTGAGGTGCATATCATGGGACAAGATGTGCCGAGCCCCAGACAAGAGTGGAAAGCATGGCCAGAGTCGTGCGCGGCACGGCCGAGGGAGCGCGCTCGCGTTCCCCTAACGCCGCCTCCTCCCACCGCCGCACACGATACCTGGAACCCCACGTGACGCCCCTCGGTGCCCTCTGCCCCGCGGGCAGCCGTCCTCACACGCGATCCTCGGCGTACAGCGCGGCGCCGGTGGCCTACTCACGTTCAGCAGCACGCCGATGGGGTGGCGGCCACAGATGGTGTTGCCGGTGCGCTGCAGGTACTGCGTGAACTTGGCCGGGTCCAGCGACTCGATGATGTCCATGCCCTGCGGCAGGCGGCGCGCGCGTAAACAGAAGCGGTCTCCGAGTCAGCGAGGCCGTGACTGGGGACGCGTGGGGACGCTGCTGCCGGCAGGCGGGGAGGGCAATGCCAGACGCGCACACCGCTGTTCGACGCAACCGCTCCGAAACACACAGGGCGATTTATCCGAGTGGGAGGTGCGCTAGGAAATTGCGTGTCGTGTCCGGCCGCGTACTCTTGGGCCTCTGAATGCGGGGAGGCCAGACCATACTCGATCGACGTGCGTGAGCGCATGAACACAGACAGTGCGCGGTCCGTTGAACCCGCTGCCAGATTCGAAGTCAGCACTGTCAGCTTTGAAGTCAGCGAATGGGGGTCACGATAACGTCCATTCACTGAGACCGGAAACACTACGCTGCAAACTGTCAAGGCAGTACTTCCATCGTGTCTTCCCACGCGCCAGCTGTACCACCTGGTGTCCCCCAATGCGCATCACCATTGTCACACGCTGTGCTGACATGCGACGGCTGCCTTCCATGTGCATAAAGCACATCGTTTGGCCACACCAATCGACAAAGCAAGATGCCATTCGCGGCGACACGCAATGCCACTACCAACCCTGTCCGTCCCGCTGCCACAGAAGACTGAACTAGCACCGGTCCGAGACAGCTCAGACTCTGCCGTTCACATGCTAACTTAGGACACAAATTTAACGAACTTCCGCCCTTCTAAGCATTGCCGCATGACCACGGGCATCGTTGCTGTTTACAAACGACACGAGGCTCCATCCACACGTTCCTCTCACAAACGTCTTACGAATTAACGGGCCGACGGACTGGACGGCAATATAGTGCGTGTGCTTGCACGGGGTGTATTTTGGACTTGCGTACGCTCGTAAGTCCGTTTTATCCAGACCCCCCCCCCCCCCTCCCTCTCCCCCCCCCCCCCACACACGGCGACCATAGCTGCCGCGTCGCGGTGACGACCCCAGTCCGCCGTCCGGACGCTGCCCTCGCCGCGCTGCCGGCCGCGCACTGACCTCGCGGTCCAGCTGCTGGATGAACTCGTGGATGTGGCCGTTGGCGCGGTCGCCGCCGTTGACGTAGCGGAAGCGCTGACCCCAGTGGCAGAAGTCGCTCGACACGACGAACAGGTTGGCCGGGTCGGCCAGGTAGGGCGCCAGCAGTCGGCCGTAGCGCGCCTCCTTCTCGGGCGTGAGCGAGCCCACCAGCACAGGCACGATCGTGAACTGGCCCTTGAAGCTGGCGAGGCACGGGTGCGGATGAGCCGCGCACACGGAGCGCACCGTCAGCTGGCGCGGACGGTGGCCGCGCGGACGCGCCGCCGCGCGGCACGCGGACGGCATACACGTGACGCGCACGGGGTGTCACCAGCCCAGCCTTGGTGGAGCTTTCCGTACCGTCCAAGCTGTAGCGTGAGATTGGGCAAAACACCCAGTTAACTTATTACTGGTTAATGGCCATCACATGTGAAAATTGATGCAGTGGATTTCGATGGCACAATATGATTTTCAAAACTCAGATTCTAAAACTTTACGGAAGTGTGACGTGGATTTACTACTTACTTCTCCATCACTTTGGCAATGTAGGGCAGGTGCATCTCTATGCTATGCTCGTCCTCGTCCGTCGATAAACTCATCCGCTCGAACTGCTCCGTGGCATACAACTGGTCATAGACGCCCTGGAACCCGCACAGACTTCGGTGAGACCAACCCAAACTCGGTCGGGTCATCGGGTCGGGCCTGGCCCATAAAACACCGGGTAGGGCCCATACCATCGCCGGCCACATCACGGAATCGAGAACTGATACTCCCGCTGACGGAGAAGCTCCGTGTCAGCCGACAGCATGAGGCGTCGCCGTTCAAAGGCAGCAGCGCAGGACAGCTAATCAGCTGATCACGGGATGACACGATGTCGGGACTCACGCAAGATCATGATGTTGTATGTCTTCAGATCGGCTCTCCAAATGTGCTACAGCACCATATTGATGTCCATCTGATCCAATGTGATGTATAGCGGCACATTCTCCTTCCAGTAGGACACCATCGCCCTGTCCAGAACCCCAGACTGTCGGATAACTGGAAGGCCCTAGGGTTCCGGCATCGCACAAACGCGAAAACAGAAACCACCCACCTGGTCTAACGTGAGATCATACAGCGGCGTGCTGTACTTGAGCGTCGAGGAGAGCGCGCAGCCGCTCAGCCGCACGTGGTGCGACGGGCCCAGGATGAAGACCCGCTTCACGCAGATGGGCGACACCTGGCGGTACGCGAACGCGCCGCACGCGCCGCAGTACGAGTAGCCGGCGTGCCTGCGCAACAGAAGACGCGCGTCAGCGGCGGACTCCGCATGGCGCCATTAGCAGCGCCATGTCCTCTGCACATGGCTGCCAGGCTGCAGTCGACAGCCGTGCACAGGAATGTGTTGGGGCAGGCACGTGTGAGGGAACGTAAGTGTGATTGACAGAACTGTTTGGCAGCTGTGTACACAAGGCTGACTGTTACATAGACTTCATACACTTGGAGCAGATGGGAAACTTAATAGTTCCTTCCATTGCAGGTCCAGGGAAATTAGACACACAGTGCAACCAAGCATGAAATGACTGACAGTGTGCAGACTGCATCAACAGCATTAAGAGAACAGCATGAAAAACATGCATGCCAGTGTGAGATGTATGCATGCATATATGGGGGCCATCATGTTGCATGTCTGTTTATTCATGACTACACTTACGGCGCAATGATGGCACGAGCTGGTCCATGGCAGAGATCAGCTGCATTAAGCCACTTCTCAAGCTGGTCTCCCAGCTCACGGTCTGAAAAACAGATGCTGCTCATGCTGCGGAGTAGCCTTAACAAATAATGCACCTATATTGTTTGCTAGATATTCCACACGATGCAACATTTTCAAACCAATGTATGGGTGCAAAAGTTGTCAACAACCAACATATGCTTTCACCGTGACATGACAATTATGATCATACAATGTGAATGAGGGATTATGGAGGGGCATGAATCACCCTAAGCATAAGAGACAACTGAGCTTGAGCACTGACCAGAATTTGAGTACCAGCTGCCAGCATGGGTTGCTCTTCTCACAGATGACATTCTGGCTCCTATTTTGAAAGTTGCTGCTAACACCTGCGGAATCAGTCTGTGGGGTTGAAACCATATGGTGAACACATCAGTGGACATTCCCTTAATGGCAGTAGCAGAAATGGGATTGAAGGAAAGCGTGCAACACAGTGGCAGCATTCTATCAGTATAAACTGCCATGAAACATACCATTAAATGATTCTGTCCTTCAGTAATGAGGCATGTACATAAGAGGTGCATCAGCATTAAGAACAATGAGTTACTGAGGCAGACAAGCTCAAAGAAGATGACTGGAGTAAATTGCTTTTCAATGCTTAATTAACATGGATTATTGGCTGTCGAAATGACCAACAGGAAATGCAGGTTGCAAACTTGGCAGGGTAAAAAATAAGGTTTGTATCCCAATTTTCATGGATTGCATTTCTTAAAAAGGTTTGAAAACTTTATATGTTCTACACATCTAGCACATGGTGATGATTATGGATACATTAAAGCATAATTTTAGCTTTTACCAGTCTTTCAGAGTCACAAGCAGGTAGAGTACATTTACCCTATTGAGATTTGGAATCAATTTCACATACAGGAAACAGGCATGAGTGTGACTTTAGCTATTACAATGGTAGGCTGGAATCCAATGAATTCAACTTTATAAATGATTGATAAGGTTGGAAAAAATAATTGTTACAACACCAAATCTGCATTCAATACTGCATTTGGAAAGTAGAGGAAATGCTTTTAAGTAATCTCAACAAACTGGCAACAATCCAGACTGAAGAAAACACATGTTCCACTGAACACTTAATTGGTAGCAATGAGACCACAGCAACCATTTCAGCAAACTTCATAAATCTGAGGACCCAGTTTGTTATACAGTTGATAACCATTTCACCTTAGGCAAACCAAAATTTTACAAACATCTTCATATAAAATGATGGTAGAATTCACCCTGCTGGCCTGGCATGAGCATGAGATGTGATGGGTTTAGAAAACTTTTGTTAAGTAGACATCAAATGGAGAATGTTATTTACTGCAAACTCAGTTGCAAAAGGTTAAATGCATTCACAGCCCTTTTTTGTCCTAAACATTTATTTAAATTGGTGTAAATTATTTTACTTGAAACATTTGAGCATAACTTAGGAATCAAAATGAAATGGCACAGTGTGGAATGCAATGTGGATTTTGGTTTTGAGCATTCCCCTTCTCAAAGTTTTAATGTTAGCTAGTTACCATGACAAGGTATGACAAGAATCAATAAAGAAACAAACACTGCTAATACATCACTGAAACATGAAACAATGCTTGATGTGGTTGCTAGCAATGCTTTATCTGTTAATAACTCATGAATTTTGGAAAAAGCCTTGCCAATACATATAATTTCCTTGCAATGATAATACACTCTGAATGCAGTAGGTTAACCACATAGGCTAAAACACAGAGAAAACTGCATTAATTACATGCGACGCCCTTTTATCAAAACCCTCGCAAGGCACCACCGCATAACCCAAGAGAACTCGCCGTTCTACCTTTCCTTCTGGCAGAAATATTCTGATTCTCAGCCCCGAAGACAAGAAGTAAAACAAAGGATATTCCCCTCGACAAAGGAATGGGGCAAAAACACAAAACTCAAGGACAGGCGACCAATATTATCCTCTCACCAAATCTAGTGCATTTTCCCCAAATAGTGAACATCAAGCCAGCCTGATATTTACCTTCATTTTAAAAGTTAAGAGCGATACCGGCATAATATATATATATATATATATATATATATATATATATATATATAAAGATCCATGTACTGCCGACCTCTGCAGTGCATCAAATGGGTAACTTCCAAACAGAACGTGCTAACCAGGTCTTCGTATATTGATAGCAGTGATCATGGTAATCCTGGGAAAAATTTCTGGAGGCGACCGAGTGCCCAAGTGACGTTCAATGCTCGTTAGGCGGCCAAGCGATGTTGAGACTTTCGGGAGATCATGAAACGTTATAAGCTGCCAGACTGTTTCGAGGGGACGGCCGAAGCTGCAGACCAGAAGTGATCAACATCACCGATGACGATCGAGAGCTCTGGGAAAGGGGTGGTGCTGAGACGTTCGAGAGCTCTGGGAAAGTGATGGGGCCGAGGCGTTCGAGAGATGGTTCGAGTTTGAACTGTCAAGCGGCCAGCGAGTCCGGTGCTCGAGTTGGGACACCTCGGGAAGATTGAGAAATTTTGAGATCACCAAGTGGGACGTACACGCAGGATATCGATAGCTCCGTGTGTGCCACAACCTCCCCCCCCCCCCCTCCCCACCTTCTGTGAACATTGAGCGTTAACCCTATGGTGATGCATGGGTAGAATCAACTCCAAATTTGGCATTGGCATCCCCACTTTCTGAGACGTTCCTCCGCCTGCAGATATGAAGTGAGATATCAATTGTGAGCATGCCGCTGATCTAGGAGACTAAACGGACCAAGGGATCCAGAGATGGCCAGACGGTCCGGTAAAGTCAGCAGTCCGATTAAGTGTGAAGCGCCTGGAAACTGTCGAGAAAACCCGGGATGGTGTAATAGTCCAGGGATGGTCGCCAGGACCTTCAATATGCATATGGGATGAGTGTCCTTGAAACGGTAAACAGGTCGGAGAGAATGGAAAGGTCGCGAATGGTTGTCGGTCTCCAAAATGATCACGAACACTCCTACGGTCCGTGAGTTCTTGGACGAAGTTACTTCGAATTTCGAGGCTCTAGACGAGGTAAATGAGCGTCAAAATGGTTCGAGACCGTCGGAGGCTCAGATTGAGTGTACTAAGGGCCCTTTGACAGGCACTTCGACAGGAACAGGTACACCTGTGGTTTTCCCCTCCCCCCCCCCCGAAAAAGTGAAGGTGTAGCGGCGGTGTATCCATGAAAGGTTAAAATAATCATCAGACATGCTGTCCAACAGGTTTTACTGTGGAGAGATAAGAGCAAAGGTTCGTTTCTTTTCCTGCCTGTGGCCCTCACGAAACTCTGTGAAACTCAAGAGGATTGATAAAATCCCAGGCCAGGTAGAGAGCAAAATTGATGAGGGAGTGTCTTGGCCGAAAGGCTGGCGTCCTGGAGCCTCACGTGGGGGCCCGGGCCCCAGTCCAGATGGCGCCATGGACTCTGATGATATTATGGCCAATGAAGTCGCCGGCATAAAAGAGTCCGTGACGACGCGCATCGCGTTCCCTTTAAAAAGATAATCGAATTGGAGTGTCAGCACGATCTTTTCCCATAGAAACTTGCAAAAACGATGGTGTCATGGAAAATATGACCCAGCCAGGGCCAACGTATGGTACCCACATTGGGCCAACATGGGTAGCCCACTAATATCCACATGGCAACTATATGCGTGATCATTATGGTACCCACATGGATGTGGCCGCGGTCTGCACATGGCGACCATATGGGCTCGTCTACATGGGAACCATATGGGTCATCCTCATTGTACCCACATGGGTGTGGCCGTGGTCTGCTCATGGGAACCATATGGGCTCGTCCACGTGGGAACCACATGCGTCACCTTCATTTTACCCACATGGGTGTGGCCGTGGTTTGCACATGGAAGCCATATGGGCTCGTCCATCTCTAAGCCACGTGATGCCTTTACGGGTACGATATTGGCTGCCCCATATCCAATACGTGCTCATGTAGGGGTCAGTTTGAAACCCCATCCCCTGATCGTTTCCCGGAATAACTTTCAAACTAGGTGGTGTGGTCGCCCCAAACATTGTCTTGCTGTAGGCAATTGAATAGCCGATCGTTTGATTTAAAAAAAAGGTTGCAACTGGCGTGGCAGTGGAGTGTCAGACGAAGCTGCTTGAGGTGAGAGAGTTTTTGGACAATTAGACCGTTGAATCTAGGATTGCAACTAATTTCATTGTCTTTGGGTCAGGTGTAAAGGTAAGATCGAAGTGGAAACAAACTTGCTCTTTCACTGGGTAACTTGATTTATGGGGTGGATTTTAACACTCATTAATTTGTTATCACAAGGACGTCAACGGAACATATTATTTGAAATGGATGAAGGCCAGTGGATATTGTAAAGATCTCGCGTTGCTGGCCAGCGCTTCACGCCAGTCCACACCGTGGATTACCACATTACACTTAGTGGTCACATCCATGCATCGTGGTTCAGTCCAATGCAGACTGCTCCGCCTGCTTCACGGTATGGGTGTGCAGGACCGGAAGAGTTCGTTTAGCGCTCACCGCAGAGCAACCCCGGCACAGCACACTAGGAGGGGAAAATATGCTCACTGCACGTTTGTATGTTATCAATAGTCACATTCAAACTCGAATGCTTCTCAAACTGAATCCGTTACTCTCCAGTTCCAAACACAGTCACTCGCTTCGATAGTAGCCTGAACAATGAATTGAGGTAAGTACGCATTTTATACAAGTCAGATTTCAGCGTGCAGTCATTTAGCAACACATGAAGAACCCCCCCCCCCCCCCTCCACCCACCGCAAAGGGCGCAGAGTCCCGCCCTCTTTGGCCTGTCCCAAGGAACCTACCCCAGAGCGGCTACGATGCGGAGTGCCTCGAGTGGCCGAGATCCACGGCTCACATAGGGTGTGCGTCAGACTGATTCAAGCCTTTCCATTGCGCATGCGCACCACACCGCTATGGCACCTGAACCACCTGAATCGGAGCCCTTTCCATCGCTCTACGGCCGGCCTCGGCTTCCCGAGCCAGCGCAGCCGCCGCCTGCCATCTAGCGACAGTTCTTCGAATCAGCTGAACCTTGGTGCCGTTTACAGCCGAGGCCCGCGCCACGCACAAAGGATGGTGCCCGTCTACGGTACCGAAAGCCCGCACCACGTTGACCGCGGGACGGCTCGCGGGCGCCGCACTGCCGTGGGTGAAAATATTTACAACATCACTATTCTAACACGACCCCAGAAAGCCTTTTGTTTTTAGCAGCAACCACTCCGCATAATCCACCTCGCTAATAAAAATTCAAAACTAAGAATATATCATAGGTTTTTTCGGCATCATGATCTTTTGATGGTCCAATGGGGTCTTGATTTGGGATTAACACCAACTTTTCTTGGAGCGGGAAGTCAGGGTTGGGGGGGGTTTAGTGAGGAGAACTGAGCGTACTTCAGACACCGAAATGGAGTATAACATTGACTGAAGTTAGTTAAAATGAAGATCATAACCTAGGCACGTAACATTTGACATGAGTGAGCTCATATAAAGACCAACCAACCTTGCAAATTTGGTACCTCTAGCTCTCTTAGCTTTTGAGTTGATGGGATAGGAACAATTTGATCCTCTTTCCACCCGAACGCACCTTTAAACCGGCCAACCGTGGCCATGTTTTAAGACCGCTTTCGTCATCGGACAAGTGTCTCGTAATAGCAGCTGATAGTCCCATAACAGCACTATCCAGTGAATACCGCTGCACTCAGGCGCGCGGTGACAGCTATTTTCAGGACCACCGAGTGCTGCTCATCACGCCGCGGACCGGCCAGCCGTGAATAGCCGTCACGGAGTGATTTGAACAAAAAGGCGATGTCGGCCTATGAGCGATTTTCATTGCCAGCCGACAACTCACCCACAATGGCATCGCGTGCGCATGGTTCCGCCCGCCGTGCACTACCAAATGTATTACAGATTGGGTCATGAAAGTCTCAAAGTCGTCGGCTCGTCAGACCGGCAAACGTTGAGTGAGACATTGTGGAGGATGGGCCGAATTAAATGGATGCCCTAAGAGGACAAGCCCTTGCGCCGGCAGCTGACTGGCTTGCAGTAAAGCTGTCGCATGTGCACAGCCTAATTCCTTCGAGAACGGTCGCAAGCGCTTTTCCCATGGCCGCCGTGTGCTGGCCATCCCGCTAAAGCCGGTAGGTTTTAGCTAGGTATGCGAGGTCACACGTGATTTGATTAAAAAAAAAAACACCACATCGCCAGTTGAGCGAATTGCATTTCATAGCAAGCCGATGGTGCTCGCACAATGGCATCGCGTGCGCGTGGGCGCACATGCCGCGCACGTCTCAGTGCGTGAAATTTGACGCCGTAAACTTACAAATCACAGGAGGCGGCTGCCCCAGCAGTATTTGGTGACACGCTGCCGGCGACGACTGGACAAAATAGGCGTGGTATTCGGAAGTGTCTTGTGCTGGCGGGTGACAGCCCTCTGGAAGAGCTATGGCATGCACACAGTCGAACTATTAGCGCGTGAGTATAAACATTTTTTTACCCGGGCTGACGCATGCTTGCCACCACGCTACGGGCCGGTCGGCCGCAGTCAGCAATGCGCCGTTGAGTGGCGATCGCAGTCAGCAATGCGCCGTTGAGTGGCGATCGCAGTCGGCAATGTGCTGTTCAGTGGCGATCGCAATCAGCAATGCGCCGTTGAGTGGCGGTAGCAGTAAGCAATGCGCCGTTGAGTGGCGATCGCGGTCAGCAATGCGCCGTTGAGTGGCGGTCGCAGTCAGCAATGTGCTGTTCAGTGGCGATCGGAGTCGGCAATGCGCCGTTGAGTGGAGATCACAGTAAGCAATGCGACGTTCAGTGGTGATCGCAGTCAGCAATGCGCCGTTGAGTGGTGATCGCAGTCAGCAATGCGCTGTTGAGTGGCGGTCGCAGTCAGCAATGCGCTGCTGAGTGGCGA